GCACTCAAACAGAAATCAGCTGATTGTAGTTCACCCGATAAACAGGATGGACAGGCAAGCAGAGGACCAAGTCCAAGGAATTGCAAGGAATACAGGTTCTCGAGTCCCATCCCTGATTATAAATACTAAGCCCATTTTATTTATGTACAGTTATTTATAAATCAGAACCTGTTATTCATTATCTACGCCAACGCAATGTTTGTGTGATCAGAGTAAAGACATGCAAAAAGCCATGCTGCCCCTATCTGACTTTTTACTGCACTACAAACTTCTTAAAGTTTGTTTAAAAGAACAAAGTAAAGAAAATAAATATATACGAAATACAATAAGTGAGCTGAGTTGGCAAAGGTTTGCAATCTTGGTGTCCTTGAAGTTTAATTGTGAGTTTGAATAAAAGTTCTTTATTTGTTTATCTATTCAGTTTCAGCTGTGTTTAAGCTGTTTGGTTAGACATAAGATCTTCACTCTTAAGGTGAAACTTAAGATTGTTTGGACTTATAATCTGGGGGAAACTATTCTATTTTGTCCCCTTAGAGTTATTGTCCCTGAGGCCCCTCTGTATATATTCTGCACCTTCTGTAAGCATAAATATGCACAAGTGTCATTTAACAGTGACTTTGAGCCACTTTCAAGGTTTCTTTATGCCACATGTTCTTTGTAAAGAGAGATGACAGCCATCAGGACTGTGTCACTTCAAAATATTTGCACCATCATAATTACTCCAGTACTACATTTTCCTTCTTATGACTGAAATGAATAAATGAGCATCCATTTAATTATGTGAGTGATTACCCTGCCAAATAAAAACAGAATAAAAGTGTTTTTATAGTCTGAACCCATTCTTACCTTACTAATCAGAAGGTTGGCAGTTCAATTCCTGTCTGCTCCAGTTTGCATGCCAAATATCCTTGGACAAGAGTCTAAGCCCAAGTAAGAATGTGTGTGAATGTTAGGTAGAAAGAGCGTAGAAAAAAGTGCTTATGTGACTGGGTGAATGAGGCAAGTTATTTAAAGTGCTTTGAATGCACAGATAGAGCAGAAAAGTGCTAAATAAGAACCAGTCCATTTACCATTTAATTTTGCTGGTGCTTTAAATGCGTTCAAAGGCAGGTTTAATGTCCCCGGTGAGCCAGCCAATGAAGGTATCTTTGCTCCGAAGTCTGATATTTTTTCTCTTTACATCAGAAAGTGAAATAAAACCTTCTTATTGATTTCCACAGTGAATTACAGCACTCTGCCATGTGCAGGAATGTGTTTCACAAGTAACTGATCATAGTTACCAAACAAAAACTGCAAACAAAGGTATGGGTGCAGCTCAGCAGTGAAGAGTCAACAATTTCATATGATATCAGTACATGAAATAATCGCTGAGACATGATAGTCATAATCAGTTTGGATTGGGTGTAACAGGCAAATGACTTGAAAAAGGAAATTCAAAATCAAACTGATAACCTTTTTGATGCTTGGTATGAATATTATCTGAGCCAAACTGATTGAAATTTGGAACAAAAAACCCCTTCCACACCTTCCTTGTTAGGAGAGAAGCAGGCTTTCTTTTTTCACTGACATGTTTCAGAGCCGAGAGCAGGAAAAAATACTCCGGGTATTTGGAAAAGTCTGACGACTGAACTTTCGGCTCATAGAGATTACATGAACATGAGATGATTAAAAATATTAATAAAAGTATCCACCACTGCAACCATATGTGTAAGTTCAACAGTGTGCTTTAAAGACACCATGATCATTGTTTGTAGAATTTTAAATGACCTCAGCACATAGTTATGGACAGCTGCGATGACATGCACTTGATTTGACACCTGCCAGTCTGCCACAAAATGCTGAGCCGCATCCTGAGTGCCTCTCACAATCTATTCTCAGACAATCCCCCCACCTCCCACCACCATCATATATTCTCCTCTGCTGTATCACGCCATGACAAGCTGTGTGTCAAGCACTTAAAGCACGGGTCTCAAGTAGGGGCTGTGGAGGGCCTGTGTATTACATTTGTGGACAATAAATTGATATGATCCACAGCATCACGCCTCTTCTGAGCTTACCCTAAAGCCCGTGGTACATTAAGTTGCAGAGCAGCAGAGGCCATTCTCACAAGGTCAACATCAGAGGTGAGGGTAACAATGATGTAGGAGGAAGGAGGAAGCATGGGGAGGATGAAGGAAGCTGGGAAACCTGCTTGGTCAGTTCAGTTTAAATTTGTATTGTTACGTTTGTAAGAGCCCTGGATTGTTATTCATTTTGTAGATTTGTCATTTAATTAAAACCTCCTGTGTCCGCATGTCCAACCAGCTCAGCCCCTCACAGTTATATAGACAACAAGAAAAGGCAAACTTGGAGGAAGAGAAGTTATGATATATCCAGCAGAGCTGTACAAAGCTTGGCTTGGCTGCTGAACTCATGGCTGTTTTCTAACTCAACTTAAAGCTCAGATATTGGTGTAATTGCAGCTTTGGCCTGCTGAAAAGCACATGAGAGAATATCATCTCAATAAATGGGGTAATAACTCCAGAAATATTACTCATTTTAGTATATACTGTTATATTAAAGTGGAAATGACACAGCCGGCTGCCCAGATGTGTGAGTGCTTTTCATAAATAAATGTAAACTCTAGCAATTGAAAGCTTAATGTGGGACAGGGCGAGCAGAACAGGGCGAGATTGTGAATTTGGGTCTGAACATACCACGGAGAAAGTGAACATGTCCTTTTTACCTAATAAAATACTTTCTGTTAATAAATGTAACAATTTACCCCTCTGAAATTGGGCTACAGTGACAGAACTGTGTGTCTCTTTGGGGGAACAGCAAGACAGATTTAATGTGACCAAACAGGTAACAGTCCATAACAAATCAACTAAATGTGATATTATCCATAAAGCACCATTCTGCTAGCACTTTTCCTCTGATTTACACATAAAACAGAATCTCTGAGACAACCTTCTGACCCCATTTGCACTTCATCGTCCTGGACATCTCCTCAGAGCACAGTCGCCAAATTGACCTAGAAACCCACCTAAATACCAACCGCCCAATCCCACTGCGATGATTAAATGAGGGTGGTATTCACAGCAGAAACCCAAGTGTCTTGATTCAACTCAATTAGGCCTGCATATGGGGAAGATGTTGTCAGAGTAAACGTCACTGTACAGTTTTCACAGGTAATTACCTCGCTCCACTGTGACAAGGGGCCTATTTGGTGGAAAGTGTTAGAACACACTGGGAAGGGAAGACTAAGTTTCCCCATCTAATTCTGGAACTTTCCATTGCATGCAAAGTCAAGAGATGCAAAAGAGGGATATTTTTATCACACTGCTTTAGCACCAAATTGTTGCCCTCCCACTCGCATGCAGTCGATATTTGTCTGGCTACCAGGATTTGTTTTTAATCGTCAGCTAATTGCTGACAATCGTTGAACTGGTGGTTTATTAATTATTTTTTGTGTGTACTGTTTGTCTGTGTCTGCTGACATGACACATAAAGCTGCAACAACCAGAAGAGACTCAAAGTTATGTTATTGCTGATGCAAACTGATCTATTTGTTCACTCAGCTTTTTTTTATCTGCTTACTGTCGCTTCAACATAAAACTCCGTTTAAATCAAAGTGAAAGGCGACATGCTGTTCCTCGCACAAACGAAAAAAACAACAACTGCATTATCTGTCAGACATGCCACGCGCGTGTTTAGAGATAAGAGTTGAGAGGTTAGTTTAGCATGTGGAGGAAAGGTTGCGCTTGTTTGACTCAGAAGTGAGTCAAGGTTCAGCAGTGCAGGGTGTGCTATCTGCACACAAATGCTACGACTCCTCTCTGCCTGCAGCGGAATATATGGACGCCAGGAGAGAAGATGCCTGACACTCATGTTTTAGCATTTCACTGCTCCTCGTTATTCCTGGCTGAAAATGCAATTCATGGAGTTTTACAGAGCTGGCAGATTGGAGGCGGGTGAGGCCCAGACATCTGTACATTGTGACTTCACACGCAGAGTTTCAACCTTCCGCTCAAACCCAGTGCTGCACGGTGACCTCGTTATAATCTAAAACAGCCCCAAAGTCGGCTGGAAATCTCCCCATTAACGCCGGAGTGATTATTCACCTGATTCATTTAGGGCGGCTCATTGCTTTTGTGCCTGATTTAGAAAGACTGCACAACATTTCCCACTGCGAGAGATGCTTTCTAAATAAAGACAGTGAAATGCTATAACTGGTGGTGATATACTAAAGAGCCGGGGGCTTCTACCTTTCTACTGCTACGGTATTGACTTCATTTACATGCATGCAGACTTGGACGCACCGTTGATTAGTGGAATTGGTTCAGCACCCCGGACAGCGCCGAGCCTCGATACCTGCACTGAGGACGTCAGAGCAGAGGTGGGCGGGGGTGGTGGTGGGGAAGAGCAGCTCCATAAACTTTATTGAGCGGGACTTTTCGTCGAGTCGCGCTCTGAGCAAGAGCGGGTTGGCGTTTCTCTTCGAGGAGCGCCATTATCGCCCGATTGGTCGATGCTGCTGGATGCCCAACGCCGCTCCTTCCACCCACACACCCTCCCAGTCACCGAACATCAGCTACCGGAGAGTGGGGCACGGTGATTTAAACACGGACAGAGAGAGAAGGTGTTTGCTTGAGAGACAGGAGCGTCTCCGGAAAGAGTGCGAGTGCACACTGTAGACATCCACACGGTGGAGCAAAGCCTACAAACTTTATTCCTTTTCTTTCTTTCATTTCTTTTTTAAGATATATTCCTGTTTACGAACACCCCCCTCCCCCTGAACAAAGACAAAGTTTTGACATCCCCACCAAAAAAAAAGAGCAAAAACAACAACTATTTATCACCCCACTTGTCCGCTTGGCTCTATTTGACGTTTCTTTTTAAAGCAACAAGTGTTGTCGGCTACGGTTCTTTTTCCACACAGGAGGGGAAAAAAGAAATACCGATGATATATTAGCTACCGTGGTCACTCGGTGTGGCACCGCAGTGACACCAGGACTGCCATGATCGTGTCCAACGTGAGCCTGAGCGGCTGCGCGGATTTCAACAGCGCTCTGTGTGCCGGAGCCGGGGAAGGGCACCTGGGGGGCGGATCATACCGGACCGCTCTCACCCCGACTGGGAACCTGGTAGTGGCTGTGTGCCTGGGCTTTATCGGCACTTTCGGACTTATTAACAACCTGCTGGTGCTTGTTCTTTTCTGCCGCTACAAGATGCTGCGGTCGCCCATCAACCTGCTCCTGATGAACATTTCCATCAGCGACCTGCTGGTGTGCGTACTGGGGACTCCGTTCAGCTTCGCGGCCAGCACGCAAGGAAGGTGGCTCATAGGGGAACGGGGCTGCGTGTGGTACGGCTTCGCCAACTCGCTCTGTGGTGAGTACAAATGCGGGATCAGTTAGGTGGTGCTATAGGTTTCTGTACTGTATACAGGCTCTATATTCTTTATTTCACACGAGGTCGTGAGTGTTGCTGCGCGGAATGCGTGGATCCTCTCCAGAGCACTGCGCTTAGTAGACTGGATCGTGGTGTGCTTTATTCGTACAGACGAAATGATGATTTTGAAAAAAAAAAACGAAAAATGTCCAACTGTCTCTCGTGCACCGAGTCATGTGTGAAGCCATATCAAACTTTCACAGAAAAGCTTAAAAATCTTCGGACTCCTAATGAATTAAATCTGGAGATAATGAGCAATGCTCGTGTGCCACTCTGGAGACAATAAGAGCCTGTTATTACAGCTGTTTGTTCGTTCTGCATGACTCGTCGCTGCTGGAACAAGGCATTTTGTTTATTCCAAGCTTTCTCTCTTCGTTTCGTGCATTTTGGGTGGGATCATCCTGCAGTCTCCTACGCCATTAAGGTCTTTCATTAAGGTATCGCTTAAAGTGGAGGTTATCTTATTACGTTTTATTGTTTTAAAAAACAAACAAACAAACAAATAAAAAACTCATTCTGCACGAGTCAACTGGTTCATGAGTCCAATCCGTGATTCGAGTTGCACATCTCCTCTCATAATCCCGATGAAGCTTTCACATAAAGATGCGCAGGTTTGGTCCAGGTGCGGTACTGGTCATTATATCTGTGGATGTGGTCTGGATGGAGCTCCGTGACAGACCGTACCGTACCGCTCCCTTCTGCAGCTGTGTGCATCATTATGACATTCTCCTTGTCATAAGACAGCTCCACGGTTTCACGAAAGTAATTTAGTCATTTAGAAATCGTTTGTTCGAATTCCATTATGAACTCTGCAGCATGTCACAGTACTGTCAGCGGGTGATTTTTGTGTGCAACCTGCTATTAAATGGCCGCTAAATGCTTATTACCGTTTAGTTGAGAGGCTGTACCTGAGGCGAATCAAACCTCCTCACTGTGCACTGTTCATTTAGCTGCTCCTGCAGGTCTATAGCGGGCTGTGGCGACGCTGTCTGCCTCCATGGCAGGTACATCTGCAGCATTTGTTGCAGAATAAAACATTTCCAAGGGGGAAAGCTGTGTAATGAGAAGACGGGATGCTGCTATACCTTTGCTCAGCAATGCTGACATAAATAAATTGGGTATAATGATGCACACAATAGAGAATAATGATGGTATGCACTTGCTTGATACTGGGCCAGACTGGATTGCGGAATTAAAGTAGAGCGATCAGACTAGGTGTGCTCTATACCAGCAGCAAACAAGGAGTTTCAATTAGCATTAAACACAGGCTTACATTAATTGTCCTCTAAGAGTTGTATTAATTAAAACCGTCAGTGCACACATCCGAGTCACTTGGATGAAGTTCTATTTAATGCAAGCCTTATTTCTGTATAAAAGATGAAAATGTTCTTCTGTCAGCAGGAGCCCTTGGCCCAGTGCCTGATTTAAAGTGTTTAATGAACAGAGTCACAGACACTGAAAGACAGGATGTCCCATCTTGAATCTTTATCACTGCTGTATATTATACCAGTTCCCTCTTGCTTTTAAATCAGTTCATATTTTAGTTGCTTGACAGGTAAAAAACTGAAAAAGAAGAATTCCTAAAGTTCACTTTTCAGTTGAATCAAAACACACAAGTGACCTTTGGGAAGACTTAAAAAACATTAGATGAAAACCTGAAAAATTTTGAGCTTTTCAGTTACAGAGACCACAAATTCTTTGTGCAGCTGCGAACGGACCGAGCGTTCATGCTGGATGTCAGCGGTGGCAGCCTTTCACTGATGAAGTTTGCAAGGGCTGATAAATCTTTTCTAAAACTTCTCTCACTCACTTCAACACATCTAATCTTCTGATGTTTAAAGGCCTGCTTTAAGCTGAGAAATGGCCACTGGAGCCAAACATTAGGTCCTCTGATACCTGCTGCAACTAAAGATTTCGGGCGTTTGATCTTATCTCGAATAGGATTACAGCTTGTTAGCCACCTATGTGAGTGTTAGACCAAGATTCCAGTTGCTGTGAAGCAAAAATCCCTCCGAGACAAAAGTCTGATTTCTACTTGAGAAACATTTGTGTTACATAATTTCCCATCCTTACTTTATGGTCATTCTGTGGCTCTGAGGTCGTCACGCTTCTTTGTGGTCACTTTGTGCATTATGTGAGCACCGAAACCTTCCTATCCAGGCGAAAAAGGAAGAAGCTAAACACGGAGCAAACAAGTCCAGCAGGGGTTTTAATCCCCTGCTTTTATCAGCTCTTTCACACCTTGATCTCTGGCTAACATTTACACGCAGTGCACACTAACTAAATTGCATTTTACTTTCCACAAGAGCCTCGTGAATCTGTAAGCCTTTTAAATTCAAAACAGGCTCTCGACTGGTACACTCGCTTCCTCTGGGATAAGTTGGCAATTTCCAAAACTTCATTTCTGTCTTATCATGGTGCAAAAAAGGCAAAGTTCCAATCATTTTACAGTATCTGAGCGAGCTTTGATCGCATCCACCGTCTCGCTAACTCGAGTGTTAGACCAAGATTAAGCACCATGTGAAAATATGTAACACTGACCTCCACAAAGAGCCAATTTATTAAACATCTGACAAAAAACTGGGCTTCAACAAACTTAAATATTGTAGGGAGACAGTGTGTGTGTGTGTGAGGGAGAGAGAGAGAGAGAGAAATATCTCACAGACATCATTAGAGCCTCCACTGGTTATGGATGAGTAATTCCTCAATGGCCTCATAAAACCAGAATGAAAGAGTGAGGGAGGGCCAGAGAAAGGAAAAGTGAAATTGATTGTTTGGGTGAATTATGCCGGGTGCCGCTTTGACAAAGCGACAGTCTCTGTATTCGTCGAATCTCCGCGAAGCTTTTCTGAGTGATCGATGTTCCTTCAAATTAGAGGGCATCACTGTCAGTGACAGAAGACATTGTTAGCGTGGCGTTAGCACGTCGTATTCCTGCTCTCTCTTCACATCGATTTCTTCTTTCTGCTCACAGTCTTAGATGTTTGAATGACTGAACAATTGAAGATGTATTGCATTGACTTTTGTGCCAAGAGCACCCACTGAACACAATTTGTGGAGACGCATGCATGTGCATGTGTGTGTGTCTTTATCTGGACCTCCTCACCCACTGCCATCAGCCTCCTGGCATCCATTTAGCTGCTTCACCTCTTCTACCCGCCTCTTTGCATTTTCTTCTCTGTCTTGCTGAACTTTTAGTGTCTTCCATTATACTGAAGATGAACAGGACAGGATCTTTTTTTTCTGTCTCTGACAGCTCGTCTATGTCTTCCTGCATGCCCCCTTCTTCAAGCAGGCTCTGCACACAGTCGCTGGATTAACCTTGCACTGCTGGGGGCCACTCACCACATATTGGAGTCAGATTGCTTTCCGCATACACTCACTCGCTGACCTGCGCACAGCAGCATCACCGAAATAGGCGGGCAAACTGATGAGCGTGCACGTGGGGGGAAAGGAAAATGCACGAATATGTGCATCATGTTGGTGCGCACAACTTTTGGCCTGAGTGATGTTAATTTGTCAGGACACTACGCAGAATTCTCAGTAGGGAGAAAGAAAGCAGAACAATGCTGCCCTGCTGTAAAGGTCATAGCAAGCAAGCCGACTAATGAGGCACGGTAATAAATACTGAATTAAAGGTCTTGCATAGCAGAGACCCAAAAATATGTTTAGGACGTGATGTGTGTCTGGTGTTCAGCATTCATTAGTGTGAATGATCATGTCCGTATGCTCTGACTTCTTATCCAAAGCGGGGAAAATCGAATAAGAGGTACGCACGTTTTATGTCTCTTAGTAGACTCGGTGCGTATAGCGCTGGTTTCGCGGGATCTTCTGAATAAACACAGCTTTACTCAATCCTGTGTTTTTCATTCAAACTGTCTTTTCCTGGATATACGGTATCAAAGGAGTGATGCAGAAGCAGATGCTTTCTAACAGAAAAGCAAGACAGAAGTGGCGAGTGAATGTCACACAGGCAGGAGAACAAAGACTGTTCCTTTATACATATATAAATATATATATATTTCAGATGTTATCACATCATAAGATGTTTCATTTTGGAATATTACATTCAGCTGATACATTTGATCCTGCCAGAGCAGTAAAAGATTGATGCAG